AGCAGGAAATAACCTCAGGATTGAAAAGTTACAGAAGTTTTGGAGAAGATTCAGAACACAAAAGAAAACTATGCAGAAAATAAACTATACACAGAAGGGTTAAACATCTATTGTTTAGTCTGGAGGGAAAAAAAGGAATGAGAAGTTTGTAATTATTGAGGAAGTGGGAGGTCTGACACACAGCATGACTATTAGCTATTCTCCTGTTGCCTGTGTGGGCAGAGAAAGAGAAACTAGGTGGTGGGGGGGCTGTGAGTCTTGTTAAACCCATGGACAATCACGCAGACGTAGAATCTGCTTTCAGGAGGTCTTGACACAGGCTAGTATCCAGTTGGCTGAGTTAGTTTTGTGCATTTCTGAGGAAGGCGGCAGGCTCTACCTTCCATCCAGATGCAGTGGGAAAAGTGAGAGGCTGACAGTGTGGATCAGACACTTATCTCATATATGAACTGTGAGCTAACCAGAGTTTCCTAAAAGCAAATGAAAACAGGTTGTTCTTTATTCTCCTTTTGCTTCTTCCTACCTCCTCCTTCTAAAGAAAACCTAAAAAGCACAACTTCTCCTATGTCAGAACTTGACAACAGAATCCATCCTTCTTGGATTGTCTTAAGGCTGAGAACCAAATGTTGAGAAATTAACTCCTGGGGTTTTTGGAATCTTTTGTTTTGAAACTAGATATTCTGGCATGAGAAATGTCTGTGACACTGCAGGTCTCTACCCATAAAAAGTTTTTCCTACAAACAGCGGCAATTTAATGGCTCCTATGGGTCCCTAAATAAATGATAATGTTGACAGGCAGAGCAGTAAAACTGCACAACTAGAGACTGCTGGTAAATGAAATCAATGAAAGCATGGTAAGTGTTGAGTAATAATTTCATTCTTGAGTCTTAAACACCTAATCACAGGTCTGGAAAAGAGAAGACTACGTGAAAGCCTCTTCTAAGGGGAAAGACCCTCCAGGTCAAAATCAATAAAAGCATCTAAGACCTCGACTAAGGAATAACTTATACCCTCACAGACTCTCATCTGGCAGCATATGTGAAGGTCGTATGATTCAGAAGCAGCTGGGTAATCAGCATGAGCCTATATGTGCTTTTGATCTGATTAAAGATCACACATATTCTTAATTTTCCCAGTAATAGGGAAATATAGAAATGGATTGTATGTAAAATAGTGATAATGATATCAAGATGTAATCAAGTTTAGGTGGTATCTTTAAAAAAATCTTAGTAGTATCAATGACTTTTCGTGTTTTAAACGTTCTATACGTTTAGGACTAGACTGATTTTACTTTTGCTCTTTTATCCTCTGTACATTAACTTATCTATGCTCAAACAATAAATTCAATGAATTTTTTTTTTTTTTTAGCACCTACTATAGAACAGGCATACTTTCAGTTTATACCCAGGGAACAAATGCACTATTACAAAATAATGCATTTTGTGATTCAGCTTTATTTTCCCTCCATGATAACCATGCTGTGCTGTGCTCAGGACGTGAGTGGAGTAGGCAAGTGGTGTTGATGGGCGGTGGATGGCAGGATAGCGCATGGAGACAAGTTCATTTCTACTGGTCCGTGTCCAAACCAGAGGAGCTCTGAGCTGTTACTGAACTTTCACGTACACTCTAATTTCAGAGTTCACAGATCCTTTGTCCTATCCACAGTCATCTATCACATATCTGCTTCTTGGGGGAATAGCATTAAGAGTTCTAACCAGTGAACAGATCAACACAAATCCCAATTCGCTTTCATGAGCAGTTCACTTCTGAATGATTTATTTATATAAACAACTTGGTATGGCTACAGTAACACTATTCAATATTGGTTTTCTTTATAGATTTATAATGTGAAGAAAAGTGACTCTGTGCACTGCTGCCTTCTTGGCTGCATCAAATGCTGGTAGCCCCGCCTTTGGAGCCAATGGCAGCAATGCCTAAGCTGTCCTGATTCAACGAACCCAGCGACACAAAATTCACTTCATCTGTACCTTAAGGCTTGTGACAGTTGTCTCAACCCTCTCCTCAAATGATTTGAAAGTAGGAGAATTCCTAAAATAACAAAAAAAGAGAGGTCAGCTCCGAAGACCTAGCTGTCTTAGCAATCGTGCTGTGCTGCCTGGTTTCTGCTCTTACTTGCAAACATCACCTCTGCACCAGAGTTAGTTGCTGGTTTGCCACCTACACCAACCATGTTTTAAAATTTATTTCACTTCTGCTAGGTTAGATCCAGAAACCATAACCTGACATGGGATTTTTCTAAGTAAAATAGATAACTATAGAATAAATAATATAGCATTTGGCAAGGATACAACTGTAATAATTCCATGGTGCACCATACATAATTTCCAACAAGTCAAAGGAGTGATAGCTTAATTTTTCATTTACTAATTAATTGTTTCTATCATAACACTCCTTTTCCCAGCTCAGTTATTTTATAACCAATAGAAAGTCTATCTGAAGAACGTCACATTCGAGTTTTCCCACTTGGAATTTTAAAAGTCATTTATTTTAGTGAATGTGACACAAGACAGAAATAGCTAAAGGAAAAAAAAGGTTCAGATGTTTTCAAACTTTAAAGTTTTAAAACTAAGCATTTTCTCAACATCCAGGAAGCAGTGTTTCTGAAAGTCAGTGCGCCCATTATTTTAGGTTGAAATATACTCACTACTTGTTTAATGCTTGATCAAAATGGTGCTATTAGCACGTGTTGTATTTCCTCCCAAAGAAGATACACTTACTTGTTCTTACCAGACAGAACCTTTGCTGTCTATCGACAATTTATTTGTAACTCATTCACTGTGTTAAATAATCTACATACCATCTTGTAACTTTAAGATTTAGATCTTTATTTGGTGCTTTTTGGTTTCCTATACTGGATTTGGCCACATGACATTATGACTTAATGACATCATTACCATTTAAAATGATATCACCAAGTCCAACTAAGGAAACAGGAACTGAATTAAAAATGTGTCTTAAATCTTGTGTTCATGTTGGCTTTCAGCAACAACAACTGCCATCATTTTCAGGTCAAAAAATTCAACTGAATGTTACTATACTTGATAAGCCACTTGCTATTCTCTCTTGAGTGCAGAAGAAATAAAATAAGAGGAATGGCCTAAAGAAACTTCATAAGGGCGAATGGTTATAAAATACGGGCTTCATTGTATGGTGTGGGCTGTAGCATGGCTCTAATACTATCAAGAGGAAACTAATATAGAGGATATGTTTTTGAATGAATTTGGCTTCATTAGGGATTGTCTCCGAAGACTCTGATGCTCCGGATGGTTACAAATGCATTTGCATCCAGGCTGTATGAAGTAACAGTGGTGAGTTCAGAGGGCCCAAGCATGGCATCACACCTTGTATATGACTCAAACATGAGCTGAATTCCTGTGAGGAATGCTCCACCGTACCTGTCTCATGATGAAATATTAGTGAAATTACATAAGAATGATTCAGAAGTGTACACTTATTAGCACTTTACCTCCACTGCATGTTTTATTTGGCCAAGCTGGTCACATGACTAACTACCTGTCATCCATCAGTTGCACAGGACCACAGTGGGCAGACAGTTCAGCCTAATGGTTCATGGTTTATGTTAGTTGAGCAAAATCTTTTTTTTTTTTTTTTTTTAAAGTTAATTTCAGGCAAGCTCACAAGGAATACATTTGACCCATAAGTCACTAGATGGATTCCTGGTTCACAGAGGAAAACCATATTAATTTTTTTTTCAAGGCTTTTTTGGACACTCAGACTTAAAATTTAACAAGTAAGAAGCTCAGAGCTGCAGGCTGCACTGCTCAATTCTGGTGCTCTTATTCTAGGGGCAGCAAGTCATTCAAAGATGAACTAAGCCATCTTGAATCTATGCTCTCTACTTACCACCAAATTAGGGAAATCAAATGCTGTGGTTAAACTTCCAAAGTAACCACATAACCCCAGTGTAGAAGAGACATCATCAGATATATAAAACAGACATTCCTCTAATCAAATTACACTAGAGTGCATGCTGGGGAATACGGAGAAACTATTTATTCAGATTTAATCATGTCATATACAACTACAAACTTGCAGCACTGCAAATGACCCTGGAAAGAATTAGGCTTCAGTGGGCTCAAAGTATGTAGAGTAACTGAACTCCCTCTAGAATGTATTCACACCACAGTATATAATACAAAGCAGGAAGAAGAGGCACAGTTCTGACTGAAGTGAGGGAGGGTCCCAGAGACTAGATCCCCTCCCATGGAGCCCCAACCAGGGCAGCCCAAGCAAGCACTAGGGCTCCTGGAAGCACCAAGGGAAGAGCAGTGAATCTGGTTCTAGCCTTTTATTTTTAAACATGATGAAAATGCTGTCACTGAGGTGACCTTCCCAAGGCTGCCAAATTCACCCCTAGCAGAACTGGACTGCAACCAACATCTTCTGATTCCTAATCTAACATTCATTCCTCTATACTCTATTACTATTATTTTGACTTTATCTGATTGTATCACTAAGTCACACCAACTGGAAGCGAGAGGAACATCTTTCTCAGGAGTTTTCATCTCACCAGTAATTTTAATGACATTTTTATTGTTCAACAGACTCTTTGCCTTAACACATCCCTTAAAAAATCCTAATGATATCCTTTCTAGAACTGTAGCCCTCTTTGTCTCCTACCTTTTCATTTAAACTTTCTCCCAGCCTTGCGTTTAATTCTGTGGGAATAAAAGGATTTCCACCTTTGCAAGTGTGCTTGGAATGTTCCAGGCCCTGTACTGCGTGCTTTACACAGATTACACATCTCATAACAGCCATGTGAGGTAGGTCTTATTTATTCCAGTATACAGATAAGAGAATAGAGATAGAGATAGGTAAATAACTTGTCTCGGGTCACACACATCAAGAGTGGCTGGATTTAAACCAGTGTGTCTGGCCAGCAGCCCAAGCCTATTACCCGTCCAATACTTCTACAGCACTGTCAGCGTTCTTCCCTGAGGGCCCTCAGAAAAGAGCATAAGATAGGTCATGGCATTTCCCTTTATATAAAGAAGGAAAAACCCCACAAAGTATCAATAAAGTTAACACTTCATGCACATTATACATTGATATTATGTCAAATAATTTACACAGATTACCTCATAGCAGGCATACTTATGGAATGGCGAATGGAGTAGCTTCAGGGCAAAAGCAGATTAAAGGGGGGAAAAAAAAAGAAGATAGCACAATATAAGTACATGAGAAACTCCCTATTCACGGTTTCAAAACAGCAATTTCAACTATTTGAAGTGTTCCCTGCACACCCCACCAAGATAGTATTTGTTTTTGTTGGGTAGGATGGGCCACAGTCACTTCCAAAGGAATAAGGAGACCAGGTGGTCCATGGCTGCATATTATTTTACTTCCTGAGGGTTCCTTGTAGGCCAGGAAGGAGAGGAGGAGACTGTCTGGTTTGCCCCAGGTCAGCCCAACAGCTGGTGGACATGCTCTCCTGGTCCAGCTCCCTTCTCCTGTTCAGGAAGACAGTAAGGGGCAAGGGGCAGTGCCTAGCACATAGAGCCAGGCAGCTAAAAGCTAATCATTCCATTGGAGAGAAGCACTCCAGAGGACTGTGTGTAGTTAACATCAGTCAATCAAGGAAACACATGCCAGGCAAACGCAATTCACACAGTCCAACATGGTGGCAGGGCTTCTGCATCCATGCAAGGACATCTGGTACAAAGATCAACTTTTCTGAGAACTCTTAAGATCATCAGCCTTCTCACCCTGTTGATCCTACAGCGGCTAACTCGTCTTCCCTCTGATCGACTGCCTGTCATCTCTATGTGAGTTCCACTCGGAAATCAGGCTGCAGGAAGGGAGCAAGCAAAATGGGGTCCATTTTCCTAGGCTAGCATGCCCTCATCCAATTTCCACCACAGTCCCGGCCTTCTCTTCTCCCAGGAAGCTAACAGGTAGGGGATCAGACTCATCACCTTCCCCAACAATATCCACTGAGGTCATCAGTAGGGGTGGCACTTTACCAGGACTCAGAAAGAAAAGGACAAAGAAGTGCAGGGGATACTTACAGTCTTACCCTAGACACTCCATTTAGAAATCATAGGCAAATATTTCCTCATAAGTTACATTAAAAAAAGAATTACTAAAAGAACTTCATCAGCATTATAAATTATTCATCTGTTTAAATACAGGTAGTTTTCTTAAGAAAAAAAAAAATTTTAAGGCATGTAATAAGATTCTACCTAAAAGGAGGCTTAATTCAGAGACCTGGGACTGACAGTTGCACACTTGCTAACATTTGAGCTCTTCCGGTGGCCTTTCTCCTCTTCCACTTCAGAAGGTACAGAAAGTTGAAGGTAAATCATATGCCTAAGTAACAGTTACTAGGAATTTAGAAAAACACGACAATCTAGAGGAAAAAACTCCTGTTTCTCGACTTCACTTTCTGAAAGTTTCGTAAACATACGCAACTCGCAATTGCCACTTTCCTCTTTGAATTCTAAAGGACCTCTGTCAGTGTAAGAAGGCATGATGCAGAAAGAGATTCCTGAGGGATGGCTCAGCAAGTGAAAGTCGTGTAAATGATTCAGAAGTGAGATACACAGGGGCTGAAATAGATTCAAATGCATTAGGTGCCCTATACTCTGTAACTCTCCCTGGCTGTGAACGCTCTCAGCGACAGAGACCTGGTCTTTGGCTGAAGCGCACCCACAGTGGGGCTCCGGGGAGGAAGGGAGCTGCTAGGGAGCCGGCAGGGCCCTGGGGGCAGCGCTTACCCGATGGAGTGAGACCTGCAGCCGGAGCAGCACAGGAGAGAAGAGCAGGAGCAGGGTTAGCACATCAGGATGCAAGGAAACGGCCTCACTGCCCGCTGTCCCCGCTTTCAAGAGCCCCAAGGAAAAGATGAGGGGACCCCATTTGTTACTCTTTTTGAGTACGCTGACTTTTTAATGTCTTCACAATTACTTTACCAACCTACCGTACGTGTGCTTCTCACTATTTTTCTCATGGATATATAGAGGTGGCTGGATTCTCTAATAAAGTCAAACGCCTCCTCCAAAGATTTCCTCTCCACTAGATCACGTGCAGTTTGAATGAATTCACCGAGAAGTCCCAAGAAGATGGCAACATTATTAATATAAAAGTGATTCTAATAGCTTGCGTTTCTTCAGAGTACTTTCATAAATGTGACCTTATTTTAACTTCAGAGAAAACAGTCTAGCTAGGTAGCTATTAACCACGTTACCTGACAGGTGGACAAGAAGGCAGAGCAATTCCGCGACCAGGCTCAGGGGCCTTCACTTCGTGGCCGTCAGGAGAAAATGAGAACCTTAGCTCAGGAAATCTTATTTATTTTTATAAAACATCTAAATTAAATCCTAAAGTAGTGCTTTGCATCCAGTTATTAAAAGGCCCAAATTCTAGGTTTTCAAAACCTGTAAGCATTAACTTTTAATTATTTTAAAGAAAAACTGAGAGGGGATTCCCTGGAGGTCCAGTGGTTAGGGCTCTGAGCTCTCACCGCCAAGGGCCCGAGTTCGATCCCTGTTCGGGGAACTAGGATTCTGTAAGCCTTGCGGTGCAGCCAACAACAACCAAAACCAAAAAAAAAAAAAACCCCCACAAAACTGAGAGGTACTGTTTTTCTTCTCAGGTATCTGAATTTTTCTGGCAATCTTTTTGAAGAGGTTCAGAAATTTGTTCCCAGAATTCACAAAAGAATTTTACGGTATAACTAACAAAATATAAAATAATATGATACTTTCAAACTGAAAAGGGGTTCAAAGTAAAATGCCTGTGATAAAATTTTAAAATTTCCCCACTATCATTTTATAAATTGGCAAATTAATTTGAACGAAAAATTTAAAACTTACTAATTGTTCTCTTTTGAGAATCGTTATTATATTACACTTAAATACTTTTCAAATATGACTTTTACATATATTACTTGTTCTAGTATAAAAGTAACAATTCTTTGTAAACCTTTTTGCTTTCACAGAGAGTTATCCTCATTTATTTCAAATGTTACATATTATAGTTTGAGAAAAATATAGGCCTGAAAATATAGGTCTACAAAATATGACAGGCCCATATTTGAATGTGGACTACATTTCCCAATATTTTTAGCCACAGTTTGTAATGGAAGTTTTGTATCCTCTACACAGAGCAATAATTAATGAAAAGTTTGGAACTCCTGGGAAACAGGTTATCCATTATGCTAAAACAAAGCCACATTGAAACAGGAGGAAAGGCAGTCAACACAACCTTGATATTATGCCCAGCTCTTGTAGGAACATGAGTATGTCAACATGCTGCACGTGTGAAACACAGTCCTCGTTCTCTACAACTTATGAAACACACTGCACTCCTGTTCACGGACTCTCCCAATTTCAGTCCTGTGGGGTCACCTTGTAACTGAGACAGTCACTTAGTAAAGGTAAAAACTGGCACTTATTGAGTGCTTAACACATGGCAGGCTCTCTTTTGCTACTTGTATAGTAAACTGAAGACGTTGTTACTCTTAACCCCATTTATAACTGAGAACAGCCACAGATTCCTAGACGCCACCCAAGACCTACTGAGGTGCAATCATGGAGAGAGAGGTGGAATCTGAGAATATGCATTTGTCAAGCTTCAGAAGTGTCCCTAAGGTCTGCTACTGTTAGAGAAACACTATTCTAGTCGGCAGTATTATGCCACTGAATCCCAGTGTTCAAGTGAAAGGTTTCAACTAAGTATGTGGAGAACAAACTTTATAAATATGACAAAATATATTTTCTTGGATATAACTGGTGATAAGGTCTTTCCTGTTTTAAGGAGTTATTTAATTAGTTTAGATAAATGTTTTAATGCCACTGAAATGACTGCAAATTTTTATATAATAAAGTTAGGGTTAATTCATAATCCAGAATATTTACAGTTCATCACACACTGCCTCTGAAGAATTTTAACTGCTTTTTGTTATTGCTTTATTAGCAAAAATGAAGATAAAGCAATGTACTCAGATTCATGCACATGTACTTACTTAACTCTAGCCTCATGAATGCCAAGTTGTTAAGATGATGCATGAATATTGGGCACAATCCAGTAATTTCTGACATCAAAAAGTAACTTAAACACAAAGATATAAATATTTGCCTCTAGGTATCAAAGCTGCAGGGTAACAAAGAAAGCAATAGTTTAAGAATCCAGTAAAATAATACACACATATTTTTTTAAAAGAAGAAATATAAAATGTACTTGAGAAGTTTTTAAAAAGTGAATTTGATTTCTAGAGAGAAAAATGACATTGATTTATACAGAAAAATCTCCTAAGCATATCAGCCAAATTCAAAATAAACTATGATAGGTATTTAAACAAGCAAAAAAAATGAGAGTAACAAATCTATGTAAGATAACTTCCTAGTACATAATATGAAAAATAAAAATGGTCAATACTACGTTGTTTTTCTGGTGCCTATAGTGAGGTCATTTGGCTCTCAGTTCAAAATCTTGATATTCACCCTAATTTTATATAACAAATACTGAAAATAACCAAAATGAGCAAAGGGACTGGTTTAAAAATTTTGCTACAGCTATGCACTGGAAGATAATACAGCCATTAAAGATGAAGATGTAAGGACTTCCCCGGTGGTGCACTGGTTTGGAGTCCACCTGCCAATGCAGGAGACATGGGTTCGATCCCTGCTCCGGGAGGATCCCATGTGCCGTGGAGCAACTGGGCCCATGAGCCACAACTACTGAGCCTTTGAGCCTCGAGCCCGTGCTCTGCAGCGGGAGAGGCCACCACAATGAGAAGCCTGCACACCGCAACGAGAGAAGGCCTGCATGCAGTAACAAAGACCCGATGCAGACAAAAATAAATAAATAAATAATTTTAAAAAAAATAAAGATGCAATAAACATTTATTAACATATTCACAATATATTGCTAAAGTAAAGAAAGAATACTACCAGGAGCATACACTATATGGTACCTTTTTAGAATAAAAGAATAAATATCTACGCATTTAGCATAGAAAAAATACATGCACTAGTTGGATATATACAAAAAAGTAACCAAGAATAGTTTATCAGAGAATATTCCACTGAAGGCATATTTTAACTTATTGTTTAAATTACAGTGATTAAAGTTCAGTGTGTGCTGCATTCTTCTGAAATCTCTCCTTATTACTGGTGATTAAAGGCACCCTCTATCTTCTATTTCTACTAGGTCGGGTCCTAGTGGAAAGGGCATCTCTGGGACCAGGCCCACTAAGCTGACCTTCAGGCAGAAAATGTCCCAATATAAAAATGCATCTCAGTCACCAATACTATCAGCCACATAAAATTTTAATCCAACTTAAAAAAAAAGAATGTGTTAGGAAGACCAGTTGATATATATATATATATATATATATATATATATATATAATGCTCCCCTTCTCTCGGAAAGCCAAAGGCTTAGCCCCATTCCCGTGGTTCTTTCCCACAGTACCTCATGTCTCCAAACTTCTTGCTGATGGCCGTCCCAACGTTGCTGAAAGCTGCAGTTGCCTTCTGCCCTGCGTGACTCAGAGTTTCATGTGTTTTCTTGTAGCTAGAAATAAAACAAAAAATAAAACAGAGAAAGATAATATCATGATTTCCCATAAAACATTCATCGTACTTCTCTCTCCTGACTTTGAAAATTCCCTTTCCAAGCCAGATTTAGGAAGATGATCCACAGAAGTAATTGTTTCTATTCATTGTTTGGGGAGGATGGGTTGGTGGCCGCTCATCAGAGGGAAACTCAGACCATTAAATCTGAATTCAGGAAAAATATACATATATAAGTCAAGATCTGAATGTGCAGATCTTTAATCACAAATAGTGGAACTGCTCTGAGAGTAGAGAGTTATTCTTAAAGAGATGTATTAACTCTATGAAGTGACGATGAAAGCTCTAGCCATCAACGGTAACACGAATTAGAAAATGTATATTTCAAAGGGAAATTTAAGCTTTTACTGCTTATGTGGGTAAAAGTAACCATAAAATGGCAAAATAGAACTAGTTACTTAATTTTCAAATACTTAAGAGCTGGGCATAAGAAGGGTGCATAATCTTAAGATAATATAGTTACTTTTTTCAAGACAGTTTTAGGAATATAGTACTGCAATGATCTGTCCACAAACCTATGTCCCCACAAGGCTGACTCCCTGAGGGCAAGGAAGCCATTCATCTTTGTGTCCCCAGTATGTGGCAGAAGGATACAGGGGAAACTTAATAAATATTAGAGGAATTAATCAATGATCAAAGAGGAAGCTCCTCTGTAGCTCTGAACTGGGAGTCATGACAGTAAGAACAATGCAGTGTGATGGATTATAGAGAGAGAATGGACGGACTTGACAGGAGGTTATAAGTGACAAATGGAACAAGACGAATAAATTGGTTTAAGGTTTTGGGCATGGTGACAGGAAAGGCGGTGGTGTATCCACTGGGCTAGGAAATTTCTAAGTGTTAACTAATGAAGTAGAAAACAAAAGGCACCTAACCTGAGGGAATAAAAAGAAATCAGCCGAAAGCTTTGTACACCATTTCACAGTATATGTAAGTCAAGTCATTATGCTATACAGCTTAAACTTATACAGTGCTGTATGTATTATATTTAATTTAATATATCTCAATAAAACTGAAACAAACCAAACCAAAAAATGTTCAACTGATTTTTAAAAAATAAACGAATTCTTTTTTTTTTTAACATCTTTACTGGAGTATAATTGCTCTACAATGTTGTGTTAGTTTCTGCTGTATAAAAAAGTGAATCAGCTCTACATATACATATATCCCCATATCTCCTCCCTCTTGTGTCTCCTTCCCACCCTCCCTATCCCACCCCTCTAGGCAGTCACAAAGCACCGAGCTGATCTCCCTGTGCTATGCGGCTGCTATGTGGCTGCTTCCCACTATAAGCTAATTCTTATAATGCACATACCATCTTCTTCCCATATATGTTGCTCCCAGGTAAGTTCCCCCAAAGCTCCTTGCTTAGCCTAGAACACTTGCATATGCATACGGTACATCTAAGAAGACTATGTCCTGTGAAATTCATTGTGTAGGAACTTCCGTTATCCCTCCCACCCTCCCACCTCCCACAAATCATCCGGCCCTAAATACACTATCAGACTCTGCACAAATGCTTTAAAACATGCTCCTTGGTCTTCCTTGGGACTGAAATCACTTTATTAACATGGTATCCTATTATTCTTTTTTTGTTAGCAGGAAGGAATGAGTCTGATATTACCAGCACTGCATGTTATTTATTTACACAATGCTTGTTTTTCAGGAAGTGTAAAAATCAAGTATTATCTAGATGATAAAACCAAACCAAATATTCATTTACTAAACAGACATTTTCTAGGGAATAGGGAAAG